GGGGGAGGGAAGCCTGCACCGCGCCGCAGCCACTCACGGTTCTGGCTCCAGGCTGTTCACCCTGGCGACGAAGTTGTAGGGAATGTAGCCTTCCTGGCCGGTGGTGAGCGACTGGGCCCTCCACCACTCGCCGCTCCTGAAACCAGACCCGAGGAAAGGCCCCCAGGCTGTTCACCCTGGCGACGAAGTTGTAGGGAATGTAGCCTTCCTGGCCGGTGGTGAGCGACTGGGCCCTCCACCACTCGCCGCTCCTGAAACCAGACCCGAGGAAAGGGCCACATCAGTCCTGCGTCCCCGCTAGGGAGGGGCGAGCACAGCGGCCTTGGCAGAAAGAGGCCAGTGGCTGGGACTCCTCCCCCTCAGCCTGGCCTGGGGAAGAGGCTCCAAGCTGGCTGGGAAGGTGGCAGACTTTCTGGTGAGGCCAGCTCCTTTGCGGCCCGGCCCTCCCTGGCTTCCTACCTTACCCTCCAATGGGCACTTTGCCCTCCCCTGTAGCTTAGTGCTGGATGCGGCCACATAGAATCACTGGACACTAGAACTGGAGGGACCCCGAGAGGCCATCGAGTCCCGTCCCCTGCCCTCCCGGCAGGACCAAGCACCGAGATGACCCCTGCCAGGTGTCTGTCCGACCTGCTCTGCAGTATCTCCAGGGATGGAGATTCCACAACCCCCCTGGGCAATTTATTCCAGTGTTTCACCACCCGGACAGGAAGCTTTTCCTAATGTCCAACCTAACCCTCCCTTAACCATAAAACCATAGAATCCTAGAACCAGAAGGGACCTCGAGAGGTCATCGAGTCCAGTCCCTTGCCCCCATGGCAGGACCAAATACTGTCTAGACCATCCCTGATAGACATTTATCCAACCTGCTCTTGAATATCTCCAGTGACGGAGATTCCACAACCTCCCTGGGCAATTTATTCCAGTGTTTAACTGCCCTGACAGGAAGTTTTTCCGATTGTCCAACCTAAACCTCCCTTGCTGCAGTTTAAGCCCGTTGCTTCTTGTCCTGTCCTCAGAGGCCAAGGAGAACAATTTTTCTCCCTCCTCCTTGTGACCCCCTTTTAGACACTTGAAAACCCCTCTCGTGTCCCCTCTCAGTCTTCTCTTTCCAAACTCAACAAGCCCAGTTCCTTCAGCCTCCCCTCCTAGCTCATGTCTTCTAGACCTTTCATCATTTGTGTTGCTCTTCTCTGGCCCTTCACACGTCCTTCTCCCGCCCCGAGGCAGGAGGGCAGGGCACCACGGGGCCTGCCTGCCTGCAGTTCTGGGATCCCGCCAGGAAAGCACAGGCAAACCGCCGGCAGCGGGACCCTCCCTGGCAGGTGCAGCACTGACCCGCCCGTTAGCCTGCAAAGCCAGCTAGAGAAAACATGCCCCAGCAGTTCCCCAGTGCCTGGCTGGGTGTGGCTGGGGAAAGGGCCACAGACTTACTCCTCCAGAAGTCGGAGCGTCTCCCCCTTCTGGAGTCCCAGGTCACCATCATGAGTTGGTTCGTAGTCGTACAAAGCTACCACCAGTTTGTCTGGAAAGCAAAGCAACAGGTCTCTTTAGAGGCGGCTGGACAGAGGCGACGAGTCTCAGGGGCCTGACTTAAGAATGGCCAGACTGGGTCGGACCAAAGGTCCATCAAGACCAGTGTCCTGTCTGCCGGCAGTGGCCCATACCAGGTGTCCCAAAGGGAATGAACAGAACAGGGAATCATCCAGTGATCCCTCCCCGTCATCCACTCCCTGCTTCTGACGAACAGAAACACCCTCTCTGCCCATCCTGGCTAATAGCCATGGATGGATCTATCTTCCATGAATTTATCAAGCTCTTTTTGAACTCTGTTATAATCTTGGACTTCAGAACATCCTCTGGCAAGGAGTTCCACAGGTTGGCTGTGGAAGGAATACTTCTTTTTGTTTATTTTAAACTTGCTACCTATTAATTTCATTTGGTGACCCCTAATTCTTGGAAAGCTGTAAATAACTCTTCTTTACTCACTTTTTCCACACCAGTCAAAATTGCATAGACCTCTCTCATATCACTCCCTAGTTGTCGCTTTTGCACGTTCCAGTTTAATTAATCTCTCCTCATACAGCAGCCGTTCTAAACCCCTAATATTTTTTGTTGCCCTTTTCTGAATTTTTCCCAGTGGACTGTGGACCCTTTCGCCTCCAGGATGTTAGTTTAGCCCCAGATAAAGGAGCTGTTGCCACCTGTTGGCTGTTTGGTGGATTATATGACATGAGTTTAACAGGTCTCGACCCAGCTTCCCCTGAGCACTAACTGGAAGCGTCCGCAGAGAATGGAAAGCAGAATGGTGGGAAAGGCTGGAGCCGGAGAGGAGGTCCCTCTAGGTCAGAGAGGAAGAAACGTGCCGTGGGAATTCAGAATTCCTGTCCCTTGGGAAATGCCGAGATTTTGAAATCTGGTTCTGCCCTGACTTAGGAGGAAACCTCAGGCTTTTCCAAGAAACAAAATATTCCGAAAATAATGTCATTGCAGCTGTAGAGCAAGGCTCCAGGCTGGCACTGACCGTTTCCCCTCTTCGGTTGTATTCTCTGAGTAAGGCAAAGGAACTCGTTGGATAAACTCCCCGCACAAGCACGGAAGAAATTGACCCAATCAGCATGTGCCAACGGTGAACTGTTCTGCTCGCTCAATGTGGGGAGAAGCCTGCCCTGGAGCTGTGTGCACAAGAGAGGGCACCGTGCCCGTGTTCCTGCTACGCTTTTATGTCCGTGTGCGGAATGACTTTTGCTCTGTGCACCGATATGATGCATCATGTAGAGAGAGTCAATCCGCACATGGACAGTGTATGGCGGGGGTGAGGCTCAGGGTCTGGGGAGCGGGAGCGGGCTCAGGACTGGGGCAGAGGATTGGGGTGTAGAAAGGTGAGGGCTGTGGCTAAAGGTACAAGCTTTGGGATGAGGGGTGTGGGGTGCAGGCTCTGGGGTGGGGCTAGGGATGTGGGGCTTGGGGTGCAGGAGGGGACGCAGGGTTGGCACAGAGGACTGGGGTGTGGGGTGCAGGCTCTGGGGTGGGGCTAGGGATGTGGGGCTTGGGGTGCAGGAGGGGACGCAGGGTTGGCACAGAGGACTGGGGTGTGGGGTGCAGGCTCTGGGGTGGGGCTAGGGATGTGGGGCTTGGGGTGCAGGAGGGGACGCAGGGTTGGCACAGAGGACTGGGGTGTGGGGTGCAGGCTCTGGGGTGGGGCTAGGGATGTGGGGCTTGGGGTGCAGGAGGGGACGCAGGGTTGGCACAGAGGACTGGGGTGTGGGGTGCAGGCTCTGGGGTGGGGCTAGGGATGTGGGGCTTGGGGTGCAGGAGGGGACGCAGGGTTGGCACAGAGGACTGGGGTGTGGGGTGCAGGCTCTGGGGTGGGGCTAGGGATGTGGGGCTTGGGGTGCAGGAGGGGACGCAGGGTTGGCACAGAGGATTTGGGTGTGGGGTGCAGGCTCTGGGGTGGTGCTATGGAGTTTGGGGTGCAGGAGGGGGAGGGGATGCAGGGTTGGCACAGAGGATTGGGGTGGGG